GCAGCCAGGTCAGCTAAGGCTCTGATGAAGAAGGGCCTCTCATGAAGGCTTCAGAGTCAAGGCAGCATTCTCTGACACCACTGTCTGAAAATAAGTCCAGACCTCAAGGCCTCCTGGGACTTCCTCCTCCACCTCCTGACACGAGGGAGAGCTAACGATGATGCTTGATAAGACAGAGACAGTTGGAAGAGACACTGAATTTTGCAGAACTCCTTCTGAGCTGGGGTTCACCTAAAATAAAGTCATCCTAATTCCCATTGGTCTCCCCTGCCTCTTAGAATTCTACAACATTCATGAAGACCACTTTGCTCAGATTGCTAATTTCACATATAAAAGACCAGAGTCTAGGGAGGCTGAGTGACTAGCTCAGGAGAGCACATTCTCATGTGGCCAGAGGCCCAAATGTGACTCTACTGCTGGATCAGTATTTCCTAGTATCAGACACCACGGCCAAAGGTTCTCTGGAAGGGAGAAAGTTCAGAAAATAAGCCCAGCTGTGGGTAAGTCTCTGCCTTACCAGAGTCTCTGTGCTGTTCTGGGAGAGACACATTAGCACAGATACTTTTCTTCCATCTAGTTTGGTTCCCAGCTTGGTCCACTCAGCTATCCACTCCAGGTGAAAATCCTCCACATAGTCCCCATCTTGGAGAAATCCTGCCTCACCTCTCCCTTTCCCAGCTTTAGAATGTGTGCGAAAGATCAGCCTCAGTCTTCCGGAGGGGGAAACCACCTCTCCTTACTTCCTGAGGAGACTTCTTGGAGGTGGAAGGATTTAAAATACAGTTTAAAGAGCCACAGTCAGTTTAGCAAGAACAGAGACCTGAGAGTTTGGCTTGTTTGATATGGACATAGAAAGGGTCAGACCCTGATGCTCAGGAAGGCTTGGAGGAGAGGAAGGTAAAAGTGAACTCCCCTTTGAACTGCTAGGAAGCAGGAGGAGGGACCTAAGTACTAGCCAGGAGAGAGGAGAGGACAAAAACAAACAAAACAACAGAAGGACTCTAAGAAAATACCTTTTGAAAGCTATTACATCTACTTTTAGCACTGATAGTGGTTCTAGTTTCATCCTATTGTGGGCAAGCTCTGCACCTTCAGAAAGAAAACATAAGAAAGAGCTTGAGAATTGTTCCAAGCAATGGCAAAGCTGTCCTCTTGTTCTGGCAACACTTCTAGGAAAAGTAGTATCTACAGCAGGTGTCACAAGAAGAAAGAGCCTACCCCCATGACATCCTTGAGACTCCGAAAGTATGGAGGAGAAGAAAGAAAGGCTCCTGCCTGGAGATGGTGGCCAGAAGCCACCTTCTGGGGAAGTCTCAGAAGGCTCAGAAGAGCTGCCCAGGCAGGTGGAGTGCTGAATCCTGGGGGAGGAGGTACAGGTTTCCCACACACAAAAATGTCCTCATCTATTCACACTAGGCCCTTGGAACTCCCTTAGCAATTACTACCTCCCTATTCAGCTTCACGCCTGGCTTGCCACTAATAATTTATTGCAAATAAGTCTCATCGCTCCAATAAGACAGTCAGCTTCTCTACTTCTAAATTCCCCCACAGAGCTCAGCATAGCTGAGCACCCGGCTGGGCCTCATTAATACCTCTCTGGACCTGACTCTTCCTACCTTCTTTGCAACCACCTCCACCCCTGCACTCCAGCAGCTGGCCCAGGGGATGGAGCCTGCCCACGCCACTCACTTTACTTTGCTTTCTGGGAGCTGACCTGACAGAGGCTACTATAGGAAAGTGAGAGCTTCAGAGCTACAGATCGGATTGGCAAAAGCTACTAGGAGCCTCTGTAGGGAAGGAACGAATCATTGTTAGCAAATTCTAATGAGGCTGGTCTGCACAGTTCTCTTGTGAAAGGTAGCCATTTGTGAGGTTTAAGTCGGATGTTGAATCTGAGGGAGAAGTAGAAGTTTCTGAAAATACTTCCCGAGAAGGGTCCCTGGCAGGAGACTTTTAATTTGCTGGGCTTCAGCTGCCTCACTTATACAAGGTGGGCAGGGCATGCATTTTTTTTCCTAACTTGAAGATTTACTTTTGTAACTTTTGAAACAGAGAAAAGGACACAGTCCTGGGGAAGGTGAGGTGAAGAGCTGGCCCTGGTAAGTGGTCACGATGGCACCTGGAGCTGAGAAGCCTGCCTAGGACAGCAACTCACTGCCACACCGCACGGGGCACAGCTACTGTATGAGGCTCAGGAGGCCATTCCCATGCCATACAAAGCCATTATACATCCAAGTCACACTATCTTCCGGCTGGTCAGCTCATTGTGAAACAAGTCCCACTTGTCCTCAGTCAGCTCGTTGCCCCTGCAGCCAAAAGCATAAGGTCAAAGATGAAAACCTCTTCCTTGTCATTGTCAAAAGGGCTTCTCTCTTTCCTCAGTGAGCTCCCAGAAGTGGTTCCTCCACTGGGTCCAGTATCTGCTTGATGTTTCCACTTTCCATCTCTGTGGCTCCTCTCTATGAGCAGCAGGGTACACATGCTTGTAAAAACAGTTCCCTCCAAATGGACACCTCCCAAGGCCTTCATCAAAATACCCGCTCGCCTTTTGCTCATTGCCTCCTAGTATTTCTAAATGAGTTTCTGCTTCTTTTCTTTCTCCTCCACCAAGTACTCACTCGGAATGACAAAGGTAGATGTGAATCAGCACTCAGGGGCAAGACTTTACAACCTTACTCTCAAATTGCTTAGCACTCCTGCCTGGTGAATACACTTGAGACAGTAGGTGTGCTTGCAGTTGGAGAGGACACTTGGGACACTCACTGGAGTTGGCTTTCTGGTACACCAACTCCATGCAGATGCCACACACCATGTCTTTGCTGCATTGCATGGCAAAGGACAGCTCCGTGTCTTTCTCATGGGCCTTGATGCAAAATTTTATGTGCTGTGATCTCAGGCTGTATCCACCAGGTGCAGGACCTGCATCCCACACATGTCACAGGCATTGCAGTACAAGTGCATGCAGTTCTCCCACCGCAGCATAGGGGAAGAGTTGCTCCTTGGTCTCCACTGGGATGGGCTTCTTCTTGGACTCAGCCTGGACATGGAGCCCTGCACTGGGCCTCTGCACAGGTAGGACCAGTGGGGCCATGGCAGGGCTGCCCAGGCATGAACTCAATGGCAGTCACACAGTCCTCAGACCTTGTGCCTATGGCTGGAAAGTTCAAGTTTCCAGACTCAGCCTAGTACTGCGAAGGAGAGACTTGAGGCAGCTGCAAGGGAAAGTTCTAGCAGTTAGATCTGTAGCAGCTGCTCCTTCCTGTTTCAGTGGTTGCAGCCTTCTCCATACACACAGTGCCCTCAGTAGAAAGGCTTGCACACTACACCACAGGGACTGGTAGAGGTCATGCAAGCAGTAACAGTTATCCCCTTTCTTACAAACTCCATGAATGAAGTATCTTTTGCTTCATTCCAGGTTTTTCTGAAGCAACTTGCTTTTTCCTCTTTTAAGCATCTGTCAGCTTCATTGTCAGAATCACTATCTGAAGAGCTTGAAGGAAGAAGTGCCTTTGAGTTAGGCATTGACCCTGCCTGCAGTCCACACCTCCTGCTCCATCAGGTCTACCACACTGATTCGTAAATGGAGAGAGGAGCTGGACATGGTGACACATACCTGTAATGCCAGCACTTGGGAGCCTGAGGCAGGAGGATGACAAGTTTGAGCACAGTCTAGGCAACTTGGCAGTTTAACAGGTTAATGCATTATTTTAAGCAGGGCCAGTGTTCTAAAGGACCTTTCAGTTCTACACTTCTGTGCAATATTGGACCATCTCTCATCTATGTGCAAGACAGTGATGTGGATTTAGAGCAAAAAGACCCATGGGGGCTGAGGATTTAGCTCAGTGGTGCAAGGTACTGAGATAATCCCTGGTACCAGGAAAAAAAAATAGAAAAAAAAAACTCCCAGTTCACATCCTAGCTCTGGTGATTCTTAGCTGAGTGGTCTTGGATGAATCAATTCATCTCTCCAAACTAACTTTCTTGTCTGTAAAATGGGGGCCAAAAACAATAACAGAAACAATAATAATATCTTCATCCTTGAGATGCTGGGAGATCCTTACATGAGCATGTTTTATAAGCTGTACAGTACTATTCAAATGTTATTGATTATTGAAAACAAGGGGCAACAACAATAATAATAGCACTTCCCTGTAAACAAGTAAATACCTATGGTTGATAGCAGACACAAAGAAGATCACAGCTGATATTTGTTGTTAATTCTTCCTTGCCCAAGGGGATCTGCTGCCCTGTCATTGCCTCCTGGTAAGAACCTGAAAGAGCTGGATAGTAAATGCTGGTCTCAGGCTTCAGCTGGAGATATTTTCCACCTACCAGAACCTCTCCCACATTGCTTCTATAATTTGATAGCTGACTTCTAGAAACCTCTTCCTCGGGTAACAAAGCCAACAATACAAGAAAGTCCTTGTATTTTAGTGTACTTCTCCTAAAGAGAGCAGACCCTCCAGGAATGAATAATCACTTGCACAGCTCCTCTAAAAAAAATGCTGATAAACTCACAAAGTTTTGTTATTGCTAAACGCTAATTGCATTTCCTTGGGTAAGCTCCATAAAAAATTCATTGCAGTTTTTAGAAACAAGGTGCCAATTGCATTTTAATTGCTAAAGAGGAAAGAGAGAAGAGGCTTCACTAAGAAAATGCTAACCAGGCATAAACTCAGAAAGAGAAACTAGAGATAAGAGGGAGAAGTGGACCCTTCGGGAAAGCCAGTCCTTCCCTAAGAGAGCACTGGTTCTCACACTATAAACCTCAGAATCCCAGGATAGTTAGGGTTTTTCACTGCAGATTATGACATGTAGATTTAAAAATTTTAAATAACTAAACAGGCACTTGCCAAAATGCTGGAGTAAATAAGAAGGACTCAGCACCAAAATGTCAAGAAACTTGGGTAGGAGAAAAATATATTTCTATCCTCTAGCATGCATGCGAAAGAGAAAAAAAAAGTTGGGCCAAGACCATATATTACTCCAATTTAATAACAGAACTCTGGACCAGTTCACAGAACAGCAAATCAACACTATATTCCAATTCCAACTTGCTTATTTTATAGTACTCTACACAGGGCTCTTCAAGAACAGGAAATAGTTGGGTGAGGAGGATCCTGAATTCCATGGGCTTAACATGGGTTGTCTAGCCTGGACCTCATATGCCCAGGGCCCTAAGCTAGGGTATCCTCTAGGTAAGAACTTAACCCACCAGAGGACACAGGGAGAAGACAGGACTGGAGGTTCATTGAGTATCCTCCCAAAAGGTCCACAAGGGGCTGGGGAGGGGAGAGGGCAGAAAGGCAGTCTCCCAGAAAGGCTGCTCCCTGAAGCCTCTTCTGTCTCTCCCCTGGCTCCCCAACCATTTCCAACCCAGTCCCAGCCTCTCTCTTGTTGTGGAATATCTCTGATGAGAGAGAGGAACTTGGGGTCTGTGAGGAGAGGCCCAGTGGCTGCTGGCCTGTGGGCAGTGATGGTCATGCCAGCAATGGTAGGCTATCCACACCTTCTTCATCTGTAGGGCTGCTGCTTTTTCTCCAGCTAGTGAACCTGCCAGAGAGCCCAGGAGATATGAAACTGCACTGATGTGCAGTGAGATTTGAGGAAACCACAGGACTTAAGAAGAGGGAATCCTTAATCAAAAAAGAAAGAGGATCAATTCATAATATAGCTGTATCACATCCTGGCCAAGAGACTTGTTTTAGTTAATCACTTAACCATTAAGAACCTTAATTTCCACTTCTAACACATGAAACTAAAAATATCTGCTGCTGTAGGTTTTTATAAGACACGAATGAGAAAATGGACACGTACATCCCCCGTGATCTCTAAAGTGTGTTATCTACAACCTGCTCCTATACCCAACCTTGAAGAAAGATGCTTTTCATTTTCACAGCCTACCTTTATAAAGTACTTTATAAAGTATAATGCAAATACTGTGCTTTGATACACATTATCACCCTGGGCCCTCCCACTGGACAGATAAAGCCTAGTGCCACAAGAATTTAATTAGATGTGGAACTCAGATCGTCACAGTAGCACATGAAGTAGCCGGGATGGTTATAAGCAGGAAACTGAGGTTCACCAAGGGTAGAAATTTGCCAAAGTTCACCCAGAAAATGACAGATCTAAGTTACAAGCACAGGTCATTCTTAGTCAGTGCTTAAACTGATAAAAATTCAGTGTCATACTTCCTTCCGCCTCCTCCTGTTCTAGAGAACTTTCCCTAGTCCCCTCTCCAGCCCTCAGCAGGATCCAGCTAAAGGGATGAGGTTCCCAGCATCCAAGGGATGTCCCTTTAGAATTTCCCTGACCCCCACCCCTGCCCCACACTCACCCTTACAGTGTAGTAGATCCAGTCCAGGAATTCAGCTACTTTGGCGTAGACACCTGGGTGATTGGGCTCTGCACAGCCACGACCCCAGCTGACCACCCCCACCAGGTGCCACGTGCCCTGATCTGGGCACACCAGGGGGCCCCCACTGTCCCCCTGAGGGATCCAGGCATGGAGACAGAAAAACAGCCAGTCAGACCTTCCTAGTGAAGCAGCAGCTGACCACCATGGGTACAGGATTTTGTTGGGGGCCTCTGCTGCTTCCTACTGGGATAACTGCTGCCTCACCCCCATAAGCCTTTAGCAGGAGCTCTCCTCCTACAAGGGCTGTATCATGCCACCACAAGCAGGGAACAGGGAGCCAAGGTGCAGCAGCCCCCATCCCCTCCTCACCACAGACCACACCTGGCATGCATCAGTCCTCCCGTCCAGGTAGCCCGCACACAGCATGCGGCGGGTGAGGGCCCCACTGTATATGCATGAGCTGTTGCAGAGCTGAGTGTTGAGCAGTGGGACCACCGTGTCCTGCAGCATGTCTGAGCTGTGGCCTGTGGGAGACACCAAAAAAGGACACAGGACACCAAGCAAAGACAGGAAGGCAGATCAGCAAGATGGGAGGAGTTAGAGGTTCCAGACACTTAGAGACAAAAAGTCAGGAGCCCAGGATAGGAGGTGTGGGCCTCAGCAAGGGGCAGATGGAGCTAGGGCCAGTGAGAAGAGGGGTAGGACTCAGCAAATGCTCTGGGCAAGGCCCTCCTGGGACAAGGTGAGGGGATGGATGCAAGAAAGCCTGGCATAGGGAAAAGCTTCAGAGGCTGTTCTCCCCAGAAAGACACAGGAAAAGGACACAGGACCCCCAGGGCTGGCACTGCCACCTGGCCAGGTGAAGCAGAGGTACCTCCCCTGCAGAAGACTGCTTCCCCCACCCCTCTGGCTCTGAGGGCCCTGGGAGCTGACTCACCGTAGCTGGGGTCTGTGTGACCCCAGCCAGACACCCAGCACTGGGAGCCCCATGGAAAATGCTGCTCCTCTGCTGGCAAGCACACAGCACTGACGGTGTCTGCAGAGAGGCCTGTGTTCTAGTCCCCATTCAGGCTCAACTTCCCTACTGCAGAGCCTAGGTGAAGAGCCTCCTTGTGCCCCTTCTCAACAGTTCAGGTGTCTGGCCTCCACCAGCAAGACTCTCTAGGCTACTGCATAGGTCAGGCACCATCCCACATTGGAGAGGACTGGTCAGAGGACAATGTGCACACCGCAGGGTGCATGACACCCTCTAGAGGCGGGCAATACACTTGCTGCCCAGCCCACACCTGGGAACTAATGGAACTTGGGAAGAAATGGAACTTCCCTTTGGCCCTACAAACCCAATTGCTAATGGGAGCCCATTATGGCTTTTCTCCAGAGTGACTGATCCTTCTTGGGACAGTATTTCCAAAAATATGTGGCACATCCTTTTGGTGAGGGCCAAACATAACTTTAAGTAGTCCATTGTCACGCCATTACATGAACAGCGATCCACTTGAGAATACAGCTACTTCCTTTTCAATTCTCTTTCAGGTCCTCTAACTGCATCAGGCAGAAAAGCAACATTTGGTGCTGGTCTGCATCTCTCTTAATGCTGTTGATCTCCCACATGAACAGAAGAGAGCAGGTCCAGGCTCAGTGACTTCTGCTGAGGACACCAGCCACCCAGAATTTAAATGCTGCCTTGTTTTCACACTATATGTTTTTGTGGCTACTACTTACTATAGCACTGTAAGTTCTTCAGTTGGATAGTTTCCTCTTTTATATATACTTATTTAAACTGATTTAGAAATAGTAACTATTGAACTGTGGTTCACATATGTGATTAAGATTGGTGAAATGCATACAGTAAAGACTGCTGTTTGGGAAAGAAACCTCAGGCTACAAGTCATGACAGGGCAGAGGAGTGCTGAGTGTATGCATGTAGAAATATGCACGTGAGGGGGGCACATGCGTGTGGTGTGAGCATGTCTGTGTAGGAGTGTTTGTGGGGGCACGTGGGAGGTGAACGCATGAGTGTCTGTGTGCAAATGACTGTGGTGTGTGTGCATGTGTGCATGTGTGCATGCCTGTAGGAGCGTGCCCAGGTGCAGATGCACAATCGGAGCATGTGTGCTGGGGAGGCAGCAGCTTGGACTTCCCCTTCCAGGGCAGGGGCTGTGGCAGGAGCCCTGGCCCTCTACCAGGACATCAGGTTCAGAAACCATTCAGCACTTGACCCAGAAGGGAGTCATTTCCTTCCCTAAACGTCAATGTCCTTGTTGGTATACCTGCTTCATCTACCTATCAGAGTTGTTACGAGGATTGAGAAAGAGAATGCTTGGAAAAAATAAATCTCTTTAACCATAGCTGGTCATGAAGTGACTGGGACCTGGGACCAGCCTGGGGATAGGGTGATAAAGCCTGTGTCTGGGTGAGACAGCAGAGAATCTCTTCTTCCTGTCCATAACCCCACTGTGTAAAGGACCTAAATCTTTGTCCCCAAAAGAACCTATACAAGAGTCCATGCAACTTATAGTTCAGAAGAATGCAGTCACTCTGCCCCTGCCCAAATGAACAGAATGTTTAAAGGTTTATAACACTAGGAGGAAATCTCAGAAATCAGCTAGCCTCTCCTCCTGCCCAGTTTCTGATCCTCTGTCACCATAGCCCCCAGCCCGCTCATCCCAGAGCCAGGGCCTCACCTGAGAAGTTGAGTGGCGTCTGGAGCCGCAGGAGGGCTATGTCATAATCATGACTCTGGGCATTGTAGAAGGGGTGGGAGATGATTTTCTCCAACATGGCTCCCTGGTGAGGCCTGACGGTACTGTGGCTGACCAGCCCTGCGTGAACCCGCCAGCTGGAAAGGCGAGACAGCCTATAACTGCACACAGGAACCATGCTGAGCCCAGGGAAGGAAGTGGCAGGAGAAGCTGACATAAGTGAGGTGGTGGGTAGAGGAAGCGGACAGAGAGCTCATTATTGGGGACTCTATCAGCAGTCTGTAAGCTTCTGAGACCAAAGGACTGTATCTCTTAGTATCACTCCAGCAACTGGCAAGATACAGTACATACAGTGAGTACTCAATAGATGCTCGTGGATTGATGAATAGAGAAACAAGACACTATGGGTTACCTACTACTATCACTCCCTTTTCCAATATAATCTCCCTCCAAGCTTTACGGCAAACAGTTTCATGTGATATGAAATGCTGAGTCAGAAAAATTTCCCTCAGTCCTGCCTCTCCATTTACTGTGTGTAATCCTGAGGGAGGCACTTCCCTCCCCCGGCCTCAGTTTCCACACTGTCAGATGGGTATTATCAAGGAGCTCATTCACTGATTCATTCCTCCAACTAACATTTGTTAAACATCTAACATATTCCTGGAACTGTTCAGGGCCCTGGGGACACAGCAGTGGAAAAATCTACAAAGGGATTCAGTGGCAAGCAAGATCGAGAGTCACTGCTCCTGTGGAACTTCCTATCCGAAGGGGAAGAAAGGCATACAGCTAGTAATTACATGAAAATGGCTTAATTACAGTGATAATAAACATTAAGAAAGCACAAGGGCTGTGTACGTGAAAGCACTTTTAAAACATAAAAGCTGAATGACTATAAAGAAGCAATCTTTGTATTACTGCTGCTGTTCCTACAGAGCTGAACTTAGCACTGAGCAGGAAGAACATCACCCTTGCGTACTTGGAACAGACACCTGAAGGCAGACAGTTGGACATTTTGTAAGGACATACTGACAGCCAAACAGAAAAGGCAACTGAGACCTTCAGCTCCCCAGCAGCCCTTGAGACTTGCCTGTGCATGCAGTGTGCAGCAGTCACTACCCAGTGGGGAGCCAGCACCGAGCCCCCACACATGTGCCGGGAGCCGAGGGTCACACTGGCCTGCCACGGCCAGCGTCCAGGAGCCACAGCCTGCCCACCAACTATCCGAGAAGCCAGAGGCCTTGCCCCACACTCTGCCAACAGAGAAGAGCAAGAGAGAGTGCCAAATGCTAAGGAGCCAGGGCGGACAGTCCTTAGTTATTATTCCTGATCCTAAGTAGGGAGATAGGAAGATGGGTGTATTGATTATTACACACTATGCTATGGGCTTTGGGGCTCTCCAGAAGAAAGGGCAGTGAGTATCAGAAGCAAAGGCAGAGTGGTAGTCTTTAAGTAAAGAGTTCATCAGCCCAGCACAGAGGCTGGTGGGGACAAGACATGGCCAAATGGCCTCTTTCTGAGCAGACTGTCTCTGCAAGAAGGACCACAGCAGGCAGATGGGCGGGCAGGCAAGAACTCCCAACTGAGACCCAGTGGAGCCTCTGCAGGGCTCTTCTTCACTTGGGGCTGCGGGGAGACTCCTCCCACCACCACCTTCCTGGGGCAAGACTTGACTCACCAGAGCATTTGAGGGAAACAATTTTTCCAGAAGTGCAGTTGTCCCTGCAAAACAGAGATGCCAGCAAGAAGCCAGGTAAGGTCACCCTGAGGTGACACACACCCAAGCGTACAGAGGATGGGGTATTGGTGGGTTTGGGGGACAGTTCTTAAGGCTTTCGTGTAGCCACAGCCTTAAGAATACCACCACTTTCACCCAAATGCCTGTACCCCTTCTCATAGCCGGTCCCAGAACAGCAGTGGACATCCTGGACAAAATTCCAGAGGCAAAAGAGAGCCCTTGTGATCCTGAGAGATTAACTAGGGCATGGCCCAAATTTTTAGATGCAGTAGTTATAGCTAAGAAAAGCCAGCTGTTTCCACTAGGTGGCCTCGAGTAAGTAAATTTGTATTCTGTGGGGGCTGAATGGATACTGAATGAGTGAATGTACACAGCTCTTTGCCCCACCCTCCTTCCCAAATCCATTGTTCTGTCCCAAGTCTGGCTCCTGGGCTTTGCAAATTTTTATTTTTGCCCCGTTTCCCCCTCTCTCTCTTTGTATAAGTTGCAATTTCCTTTAGACCAAACTAGTCATCTCTTTCTTCACTCAACACTTTCCTCCAGCAGCTCAATGTCTGGATCCTCTTGGTTTCCACTCCTGCTATTCTGGAGAAGTCCATCCCAGCCCTACCTGCACTGCCCACTCAGGAACCTAAGACAGGGATATAGTCGGCCTCCCTGACTCCCATAGGTGTCTGAGAATGAGCCCTCAACTTGGTGCTGTAGGAAGGCCTGAGAGCTCAGAGCGGAAAGTAGGCCCAGGATGAGAAGGCCACAGGGCCATGATGGTGCCCCAGCCCAGGAGTCCTCTGGACAAACTGAAGAAACCAGGCAGGGAAAAAGGCCTCTTAGCTTGGTTTCCAGTCACTCCAGCCTGCTCTGACAGTGTGGGAAGGGGTCTGCTCCTTCCCAGGCCCTCTTCTCTTGGACATTCTCGAGGCTCCAGCTTGCTTTTAGCCAGAACAATTCAACTATTTCTCTCCTGAGACATCACAAGTTCAAGCCCAGACTGAGCAATGTAGTGACTTAGCAAGACCCTGTCTCCAAATAAAAAATAAAAAAAGGGCTGGGGGTGTAGCTCATTGTGAAGGCACTGGGTTTAATCCCCAGTATCACCAAAAACAAAAAACAAAACAAAAAACTGACAGATTGCAAGATCACTTAGCTTGGAAACAGGTTTCAAGTCTGGTTTCAAGAATGGTTTGGCTGCCGCTGGTTATGTAGATTGTTTAACCTAACTTAGCTTCAGTTTACCCATCTGTAAGAGGGGGTAACAGTGCCATTCCAAATCATGTGACAGTAACAACCAACACTGTCTTTCTTTGGAGAAGCACATAATACATGGCTGTCAGGTCTCATGTTAACCCAGTCTGTCACTTCTGACCGGAAACTGTTCTGCCCTGTTCTACTCCTTTACTCCCCAAACCCTCACCACAAGGTTCCCTTGAAAGAAGACTTCCCTGGACTGCTCCCAGGAAGTAAGGGGCCCACTCACCTAACCTCAGAAGCCCTACCTGTGCTGCCACAGCTCCCCCGGGAGGCCTGGTGAGAGCTGAGAAAACACCTGGGAGCTACTGAGTTTGAGGTCAGACAGGTTCACTCCCTTGTGATGAACAAGTCTGGGTAGAGGAAGGGGACAGAACAAAAGATCTGTTTTAATTGCAGCATGAGCAGTGCTGGTGAATCACAGCTGCAATGAGCACAAGTGACTGAACAAGGCTGTGACAATGACTCCTGAGATTCATGTTTGTTACCAAGCACCCATGTTCAAAGGAGAGGGCCAAGCTGAGACAACATCATGTCAGAGGCTGGAAGGTGCCAGAATTGGATGGACGATTCCACAGTGACAGGCAGATAGAGACTCCAACTGCAGTTCCCCTGCCCACCAGCCAGCCTCCACTTCCCCGGGCCCCACACCTGACTCATTACCTGAGATGCCCAAGGCTCCGGCAGATCTGCACCCCCAGGACAGGGTTCCAGCCCTCATAGCAGACCAGGAGCCAGTCTGGCCAGGCCCTCACCTGCACTTCCAGCAAGAAGTCCTCACTGCTTATTCTGAAAGATACTGAACCACAGTGTGAAAACCACATCCCACCTGCTGCAGGGACAGGAGGAGCTAGACCTGGGGCTCTGTAGGACCCAAAGAGGCTTCAGTGGTAGTATCTGGGTCACTCCAGTCAGGTTCCCTATGCCCTGAGGGTCTGAGCAGTTTTAAACACAATAATAAGCCCCATCTGTGGAGACTTTCAGTTTTGCATTTCACACATGCTTTGAGAAGTGCTCTGTCATCACACTGCCCTGTGCAGCGACTCTTATCATCCTCCCCATTCTGCAGAGGGGACACTGAGGCACAGTAATGCAACTTGCCCCAAATCACAGCATCAGGTGATGGGTTGAGGTCTTCTGATTTCAAATCTGTCACAATAATAATTACCGTTTATTGTCTACTTTTTCCAGGAATTGTGTCCCCCACCCCCAAAAAAGTTTTCTGCTGAAACCACAAACTCCAGTGTGACTGTATTTGGAGATAGAGTGTTGAAGAAGATAAATAAGATCTAATGAGGCAGCAGGCGGTAGAGTCCTTCCTCTCTTCCTCCCTCCCTCCCTCCCTCCTGTTGTGTGTGTACCAGCAAAGAATGGTCCTGGAGGATTCAGCAAGAAGACAGCCATCTCTAAACCAGGAAAAGAGCCCTCCCTGGAAACTGGATTTGTAGCACCTCATATTCAGACTTTTAGCCTGCACAACTGTGAAAAACATCTACGGGTTTTTTGTTATGACAGCCTGAGCAGATTGACATACAAAACCTGAACCAAGCCCTTTTTAGATATTAGCTTCTTTTATCCTTATAACTTTATTCAGTAAATATTTTTATTTCCATTTTTTGTGATGTTCACTTTTTTAATGCATTACCTTTATTGGTGCATTTTAGGTACACAATACAATGACATCCATCTCTGGAAATTTGTACCTTTATGTGATATATCTTGGTTCTTATTTTTTTCCCATTCCCCTGCCCTCCCTTTAACCCCTCCACCTCTCACTATTTACAAAGATTTTGTTTCTGTTTTTTCCTTTTCTCATATTTATTCCTTTCCCTTCTTTTCTTTCCCCTCCCCTTCTTACTTCCCCTTCTCCTTTGGACCTTTTCTTCCTATTTCACTTTGTCTATTATACATTTTGATTCTCATTTGGATTTATTTCCATTTTTATAGAGACAGACATGGGAACTAGAGGAAATAATGTGCCTGAGGTCATGCAGCTAGAACAAGGAAGATTCCAAATTCTAACTTGTGTGACTTATTCTGACCCCCAGCCTTTGGGCAGCATCTTACCTCTGATCCCCAAGTCTTACCTACAAGGGAGAGGACAATGGGAAGAAAGGAGGAGATGACATGGGATGCTGTCCCCAGATGCCCAGTTGACACTACTGTCACACACTGCCCCCACCATGCACACACCCTAATCTGAGATCAGTGCTGCAGGGCTAGACTTTGTCACCACCTCCATGCCAGGGGAGGGAGAGTCAGAAGGGTGGCTGCGAACAGATGGCCCTTCATGTTGGTCCTCGAGTCATAGCCTGAAGGGGTTATTTTAGAGCTGTCCTGAGGCTCTGCTGGACTGCGGGGAGAAGAGGAGTCTTGTGACCTTGGGTGTGACCCACCTGTTTTGGGAAGTGAGGGAAACAGAGCATCCTCACTGCTGGCCTCCGAGCAGCTCAAAGTCATCTCATCCTGTGAAATCCCAGAAGTAGGCTGAGAGGCTGCTGGCCACAGATACAGGACTTCACAGAAAGACAAAGAGAGAGTCACAGAGAAGAGGCTGGAGCAAGGGGAGGGGCAAGGAGTAGAATAAGACATCTCTGTGGCAGGGCTGTGCCTGGGAGCCTTCATCAACCACCGCACCTCACGGCAGCCCCCACCAACCCACTGAAGAGCCGCCATGGTTTTACCCCTCTCTCCCCTTGTTGTCTACACAGAGTAGATGAAGGTACATGATCCATCCATCTATGACCCCTGCTCAGCACCTGCTTCTCTCCCCCAGATCCTGTCTTTCTATCCCTCCCCAGACCACAGAAGGGCCCACCGCACTCACCTAGGAGCCACAAGCCAACTCCCGCACTGGACAGCATCCCCAGAGCACCCAGCACTGCACAGCCACGCCACAGGAAGCACCAGCACCCTGCCTGAGAGGCTGTGGAGGAGGCAGACAGTGCCTGGGCCCTCTGCTCCTCCCAACCAGCCTCACCTCACCCTGAGTTAGCAGGAGCCCAGACAGGAGTCCTGTCCTTCCCCCTTGGCAGGAATGAGTGAGACGGGACCTGATCCCTGAAGCCCACAGAGCCCATTCAGTCCCCAAAGTAAGGAGGCAGCAAAAGCAAGTAGGGGCAGAGTGAGGCAACTGCCCACCATTAATCATGTAGGATTAACCCACTGGGAAGTTAGGGATACAGGAAGATTACCCTTCCCTACCCCCACCTGTCACTCCCCTACAGCCTGGTCTGGCCTACCACGTTGCAGCTGGTCTCCTGTCTGTGCTCTGAAGATCTCAGGTCCTGAGGCCTCCTCTGCATACTGAGCCTCCGTAGAAACTTGGTCATCTGGCTTCAGGTTCTGGGGACAGTTGTCAGGTACCCAGGATTCCCACATCAAGGATTGCCAAGAGAAGTCCCACACACCCCAAATCCCACTCTAACCTCAGCCATGAGCTGCTGCCACCTACAAGCCTTTTACTCATCTTGGGTCCTCCCTATGTGTTCCCACAGATGCCCCTCCAGGCCTCTCTGTTCTCCTCTGGCCCCTAGCCCTATCCCCCTTACTCTCACATGGCTCTAAGTATAAGAATGAAGACTTGAGTCCAGAGTGGGCCACTCAAAGCCTACCCTCTCCATGAACCACTCGCAACTTTTTTTTCACCAACTACTCCCTCATTTTTCCTCAGTGACATTGACTAAGGTACCTCAGTGTTGAAACCCAGACTTCAAGATTCCACCTTCCTTCATTCCTTTCTGTCTCAAAGGAAGAATTGCCCCTCCCCCTGCACCCACCCATTTATTCATTCAGCAAGTATTATTAACCCCACTGCACAGACCACTATGGGGGACATGGTAAGAATTTCAGGTAAAATCACCATGGACCACCTCAAAGAATATGCAGTCTTGTCTCAAAACTAAGAGTTATACTAACAAAGTGGAATATGCTAAGTTCCAGAAAACAAGTTCAACAAAACGATCATAGGCATTCAAAAGAATAAGAGCTTGCTTCTCATTGATGAGATCAAGGATGGCTTCCTAGGAAAGGCAGCCTCTATGACAGACCTTCATGGATGAATATGTCTTGCAAAATAAGTCATATCTATGGATGAAGTAACTGAACCTAAGATCTTGGTTAAACACTGGACAGTTCAAAGCTAGATCTACAACCTACTATGTAAAATTGGACAACTCAGACAAATCTCCAAACTTTTTCTCATTTGCAAAATAAAAATAATAACTCCTGCTTCCTAATGAGTAATCTCCTCAGTACCTTGTCTCTCTCTGCTATTTTCCAGGAGCCAGAGTCCTTTTCCTAAAATGCAAATATGTCCATGGGCACCCCATCTTTAACATACCCAGTGAAATTTTGCAGCCCTAGGACCAATGAAGTATCCGTGGCAGAGCTGACCAGGTTTCTGTGATCTCACCCCTCCACATCCTCCTTTCTTGCTGCCGATGTCAACTCCTCCCACCACCCAGCTTAGCAGCACGCTGATACATACGTGCCACTCCTCAGCACCTTTAGGCACTCTCACCCCACAGAAACTGCATCAGCTGTTCCTGTCCCTGCGCTGGTGACTGCTACTGACCCTTCACATCTCAGATGGAGGTCACTTCTCCAGGGAGCTTGCCGCACCTGCTCACCTGCTCACTAGACTATATATCCCAGGCTCTAGCACAGAACTAGCACAAAAGAGAAATTCAAGTAAAGTACATCAAAGAGAAGAAGGGAATAGGGAAAGAGGGAGGGAGGCAAAACAAGACAACATGACTGAAATGGCTTTATAAATTACAAAGCACAATGCAAATGTTAACTTTACTAATGTTAATAAGAAATACTTATAAACAGTAGATCCTTCTTCAAGGAACTTGTAATCCGGGAGAGTAGATAACCCATAGATCACCTTTCTCTGTCAATTCATACGGTTGTCCGGTGATCATAAAGTCACTTAGAGTTATTTGCATGTCCTTTTCTCCCACAAATCCTCCCTAGTCCTGCCATTGTGCTCAGTAAAGCAGCTTTCCTAACTCTCTGGCTGCCATAAGAAAGACCTTTGTCAGACTTGCCCAGGACATCCGCTTCCAAATCACCTTAAAATAATTTCACTGAACCCAGGAGCACCTATACCATTTCAGCTCCGATGAGAGCTGCACCTTCCCACCACCTTCCCAGGGGACGAGCTAGCAGCCCCGCCCACCATCCCCTGCACCAATCAGAGTCTGCACCTGGAGGACTGGCCCTCCCACCAGAAGTAAGCCTTGCTCCTCCAGGGAAAACCCTATCATCCTACCATGGTCATTCCTTCTGTGCACTCAGAGGGCACAGGCAATAAAGCTGAAGGGTAGAAGGCTTGGGAAAGCTGGCCGAAAAAGTAGAAAGTGACAAAAGGATGTATGTGAGGTTGGGCTTTCCTCTGTAGGAATATGTTTTCTTTTGAGCCGGTGTCCCTCAAAGCAGAGAGGCAGAGCCCAGTTTAGAAAGCATTCCAGGGCTACCCAGCCTTTCTTCCTATCTCAGTATCCAGGGAGCTAGGCTTTAAGCCCAGCCTCTGAACAAACTGGCTTTCCCTGCCCAAACTTATGTGGCAGTCTGAAAGTATGACCTGAAGTGGTTATAAATATAGGTCCTCCTGATCCTCTTTTGCAGCAGGGATTCTAATATAATAAGATTTGCTAAGAATCACCTATATGCAAAGCACTGTGTCAGGCCTATAGGAAACGAGAGAGGAAAAGAAAGGGCAGTCTCTGGGAAGAAAACAGGAAGCTAGCTACACAGGGCCCACTGCTAAGATCTAGTCCTCCAACAGAGTTGCCTGAGGAGTCTCCTTCCACTAGCCTAAAACCCAAGGAAGAGACAAGAAGAGAGAGAGACTGGAGCAGGGACAGCACAGAGGCATAGTCTTACCATGTGGGTCACTGTCACTGATGTAAGTCTTCAGGGTCTGCTAGGCAGGGAACTGCTCTTGTCCTCCTGTCAGGATTGATTAAATGTCCCAGCTACCTTGGCTGGCCAATGAAGTCTCCCTGGTTGGCACATGGCCCCTTCCCTTCATCCCCCCTACACACATACTCACACAGACACGAGTCAGAAAGACAATAAACTCTGCTCAGGACCCATGAATACACCCCTTGTTGCAGAGAAAGGGGCCAAGGCTGGGCTGGGCTGGGCTGGGGAGCCCTACCTTCTCCCACTGCTAACTGGAAGCTCAAAAACAGAAAAAGGCTATAGGGAGGAGGGGAGGCCAACAACTGCTTAGCAACCCAGTCCCTTGTGCCAAAAAGTGTGCCCTATGAATTCCAGCACAGTTCCCCCTTCCTGCTGACAGGGCTGTATTGGAGAGACTGATATCAGCATTTGTCAAAATGTCTCTGAGCCCTCTGGATTACATCTTGCATGTGTGGGTTGGCTTTTCCAGCAGTCTGGGACTGTTACAATGTTGCAACTGTTGGGTGATAAGGAGGGATTGTTGTCACCTCCCTCTCCAATGCTATGCCCATCCCTTCAGTGTTAGAAAATGATGCCTCTCCACCAGGCCTTCCCTGGGAGCCAGTTGCTACTGGAGCCCTGTGGTACTTCAAGGTATTAAGTGACGCAGCTGAGCCCAGGCTGAGCTGAACACACCTAGGAGCCACATCCCTTTAAACAAGGAGGCAGGACAGACCCAGCTAAGAGAAAAGCTGGTGTGACTTCCTTTCCTTCAGTGTGCTTTTCATGGATCCCTCAGATAGGACAGTTAAAAATACAGGTTTTAAGTCAGACACAGTGGCACATGCCTGTAATCTTAGCATTTGTCAGGCTGAGCCAGAAGGATCTTGAGTTCAAGGCCAGCCTCAGCTATGTGGCAAGACCTTTTATTAAATCCAAAAGAAAAAAACAAAAAGAATATAGGCTTTCAAGTCAGGCTTTCATGTAACTCCAGGTTTCCCTTTTCCCTCAATCAGCCTTCCCTGTAAAAGTAGGACATAGTACCTACCTCACAGGGTTGATGTTAGAATTAAATGTGATACTGAACATAAAGCTCTTATCTTGCTGTCTAACATTGCCTATCACGCATATAGGCAATATCTTTACACAGAGGGTCCTCACAATGTTACAATGAAAGGACAGAGATTAGCTATGAATCACAGATGCAGGAGAAGAGAAGTGGTGACTAGCACTGATAATTCCCTGGCTAGACTCTGAGGTCTCCTAGAGCAATATATTCAGCCTACAAACTGGGAGACCTACTGTGTGTTGTGCATATGAGGGATGAATTAAGTTCGGTCTTGGAGCTTGCAAGCTGAAAGGAAAGGCAGCAATAGATATAAATAACTGTTACTTATGAAAAGTGAAACTAGAAGGGTCTGAACACAGAGGTATGGGAGAGTAGAGGAATAGTTTACTCCTTTACCCAGAGGACATAGAAAATGCTTCACAGTGGAGAACACATTTGATTTGAGTTTTGAGAAATGAGAAGACAATAACAGAAAAGGGTATCTCAGATATGTTTCAGATGACATGGTGAAATTCTCTCCTCCATAAGAGCAGTGAGAAAACTGTCAAAGAAATTGTCAGAATCAACTCTTTCCAATTTCTGGAAATTAACCAAGGGTTTATAGCATTCTAGAAAGCATCCATTCAAAAGAAAAGGCAACATTGGGCCTGGGACTTAAACTCAGTAGTGCCAGCGCCTGCCTGGCAAGCACAAGGTCCTGAGTTCAATTCCCTGGTCAGCAAAATAGGCAACATTCTGGTTGTAGTGGCGCACACCTGTGGTCCCAGCTACTTGGGAGGCTGAGGGAGGAGAATCACAGGTTCAAGGCCAGCCTGGACAACTCAGCTAGACCCTGTGTAAAAAGTGCTGTGGATGTAGCTCATAGGTACAGAACTCACATTGGATGCATGAGTTTCTGGATTCAATCCCCAGTAAAACACACACACACACACACACACACACACACACACACACACACACACACCTGTGCATATGCCCTGCTTGCACATGTGCAGGAAAGACGTAAGAAAGGAACAAGACTCTCACTGCTGGCTTATCTTGAGAGTCTGTGCAAACAATAAGGCTAAGGTGAAGCTCTAAACTTCCTGTATGCCCCAACACATATACAGAGCCCCTCTGGAAAGAGGGGAGACATATTAGTTCCAAGCATCCCAAGACAGTCTCTGTGCAGTCATTAGCTGGCCAGTAAGCAGACTTCAGTGTCCATACATGAGAAAGAATACAGGCTTTATAGAAGTAGTTCTGAAAAGCCACTAAACAAATAAGCAACAGCAGCAACAACAAACCCCAGGGGAAAGAAAAAATCTGACCTCATTACAAAACCAGTTTTCAGTAAGAAATTATGAGGCACCAAAAGAAACAAGCAAAATAAGGCCCACACACAATGGGGAAGAGGGGTGTCAATAAACAGAACTATCCCTTGACAAAGCCTAGACAATGGGAAACCCTACGCACTCTGGAGGGAAACCTGCCCCTTTTCTGATGCTACCTAGATGGTCCTCGTGGAGGACATCTTAGAAGCTTCTCATTAGTATCATGTTGGTAGAGGGAAGAAATAGTGCTCACAGCAAGCATTCAAAAAGCTCTCTGCTGCCCAAATGATGGCTCAACTCACCGCCAAGCTGACTGCTGGCCTCGCCTTGTGATCCCACTGCTCATCATGAATTGACTCAGGCTCCCGCCATATACAGCTGCCTATCCCCTGGACATAGCAGCTCACCTCTTATCCTGTTGTGTTCTTCTGCCCCTCTCATCTGGATTTTCCCCCCAAGAAGGCTGGCAGTGGCTTGCACACTTAGAAGGGAGGGCTCATGCTACTTTTACACAGGTCCTGGAAACTGGTATCCTCCCTAACCCAGCCCCATTTCTGGTTATGCCATTATCATCAAGCTGGCTGGGACATAATCTTTCTGGGAGTGGCTCTACTAAACTGCTTAGATTCAGCTAAGAACAACTCAAAGAAATTGTCCTATTCAGCCGAGTAGTGAAAGTGGAAGGAAATCACTGAAGACAACAAAATAATAATTAAAACAAAGTACAGTCAACACTCAAACATCTATGGATAGATGAAGACATGGTAGAAATGAATACAAGAGGGGCTTTCAGTTCTGATGCCCCCTACCACTTCACAGTAGCTAGCTGTCTTCTTTCTTTTCCATACTTTTTCCAAATAAATCATCTTTTGTTATACATTTTTGTTATAAAAAATGAATATATGATATTCTCTGCTCTCAAAAGTTTACAATCCAGCCTGCCCACCCCCCGTCCTCTCACACCCCTATCTTCTCCTGGCATGGATGCCAGCCATGGTCTTTCAGGGCCGAGCACAAGTTTAACACAGCCTAAAGTCCAGTTGTTCCTTCAGTCAATTTATTAACACCCAGCCTTTGATGGAATCATGTTCAGTATAGTCTGGACCCCATCTCTCTCACTGGCACCCACACTTTGAGTGAGTAAAGCATTAGGAAGCCCCCTTCCATCTTCCCTTTGCCTTTCCTGCCCTTGAGCAGCTGTCACTCTGTTCTTCCAGGTATTCAGCTCCTGTGAATTCACCCTACACAGATAACACTGATGCTGCTTTTCTTTCTTTTTTTTTTTTTTTTTTTTTTTTTCTTTTTAGGGGTAGCATAGCTTGATTCTTTTCTTTTCTTTTTTTTCCCCCTCATTGAGTTTATTGATACTTTTTAGGTATACAGTACAGTTACATGAGAACAAAGATCTGTCAGGTAAAGGTACAAGATCCCAATGATGAGTGTAACTGATGCTGCTTTTCAATAATGGCATGAAAAACTGCACTCAATTCCTCCCAATTCAACATCTGACAACTTACAGGTCCTGGAAAGTCCCTGAAGAATGAACAGAGGCTATTGAGGCCTGGGGGATGTGTTTTTGTTCATGAGAACTATGATGATGGGCAGGAGAGTTTCTTCCCGGCAGACACTGAAATATCTGTACCTAATATTTTTTGATGACAACCTTCTCCTCCTAGAACACTAAATCTTCAGTAAAGAGGCACATCTCCTCCCCATACTCCATGCAGATAAAAAGAAAGTTGAAGTCCCTTCACCGCATACCTGGTAATCAGGCACTTGATGAACTTTTATCAATAAGTCTATGCTTATTCTAAGTACTAAAGTTGTTTTTGCAGTCTTTTATGTTTATTATGAAGCATAAATACCCCTAAATTCCTGTTCCTTTCTTACTCAGCCAGTAAATTCACAGATTTTGTTTGTCTGGTTTGTTCAATAATCTATTATTGCTGCCAGGTGCAGCGCCTACCTGGCAAGCATGAGGCACTGAGTTAGAGTCCCAGTACAAATAACAATAATAATCTATTATCACTGCAGATCATCAAGGTGTGGTATCATTGTCACTAAATAAGCAGAATGGTATGCCAATGATCTCTTCATTATAATTTGATTTGACTGCAAAACTTTTTCCTCCTCTATGAGATGATGTCTGCTTTAAGCTGTAATGTTTTGCCACATTGCAAAAAGCCATAATAATGAATGAAGTATAAAAAAGCTTTCTCTTTCAATATCATATCGACATGGTTTGTCTATCCACCAGAGACAGGTCTTATAACTGTGCCAGCCTCCTTATATGGGTCTATCATTATTTGATAGAATGTCTCCTAAACAACTTTACTCACCTTGTACTTCAGATTAGAAAGTCATCCCCAAAGAAAAACATCAGGCTGACCTCAGTTCATCAAAACCACAGTATTTTGCTTGGTTAGTTACATTGTTGTTTCCTCATTGGTGAGTTTGTTCTATGTCATTCTGGACCATGGACTACTTAATTTCTTCCACTCCCTACTCTACAGCAAGGTGAGCTTCCGTGTTGTGCAGAGCACTGCCATCATTAAATTGCTTTTTAAAAGGGAAATAATGTCACTGTTAATATGCTAGCTTTTGCTTTGAACTGAGTATGTAAAGCAATTGGGTCTCTGAAAAGATGATGAGGATTTCATACGGCTATTAGTTCATTTGTTTGCATTTCATCTTAAATTTCTTCTTAAGAAAAGAAGCATTCCATTTGGTTCAGATTTTTCAAGTTTGAAAAAAGGGCCCTTTCTCAAATGTAGTAAATTATTTCATTTGAATGCAGGATTTGACTCAATGAGAGGAGCATTGCCAATTTATTTATTCATGCTCAATTAAGGA